ATTTGCTACAAGTGCCTGCACTTCAGCGTCCGTCCATCTATCGCTGTTCTCCATACTTGCGAAATAAGTTGACACAATGTTTACAGTATGTTTACACGGCATTTTAAATCATGGCAGGTGAGGGCGTTTTCGTACGCGTTTGGCCAATCAATGTCTACTTACGTCACGATTAGTACCAGTTGTGCTGGTTAGACCCTGCTCCGTTATTATTATATGTCTCATTTCCTATTGTCCTTGTTGTTCTGTACGTGTTGAAACAATTGCATGTACTATAAGTTGTTTGGCACAAATTTAAAAATGCTGTGCATTAAAGAGGAACAAATTAAATGTTGATTTAAAATAAAAATAATAAATAAACAAATAGACCCTGCTCCGGAATAGGAGCTAATTTGGTCAAGAGGGTCTAGCTGCAGCCTCGCGCTTGCACTCTCAGACTTGCACTCTCAGACTTGCACTCTCAGACACTTGTGCTTCCGCTAGTGACGTCACTTGCAGGCTTTTATTTTTTTTATTTTGTTCTATTTATTGATTACTTTTTGTTTGAATCTCTCAACATTTTACAACAGTAGCCAGGTGGTGAAGACAAGACAAAAGAAACTAAATTACGAAGTCACTTGCAATCGACACAGGGTCCTGCAAGAAAAAGACAAGACCCGCAAATCCGTGGCCACAGAACAGCAGAATATGAACGCAATGCGCAAAGTCTCTTGCTAAGCGTTTTCCTCCTGTAGAAAAACATAAACATTTAACATGGCGTAATGTATTAAGATACATTAAGTTCAATTAAAAGATCAAATTCGATATATAGTTATTATTGAATGTACTACAAGGCAAACAGATGGCTATGAACACAATGCGCAAACTTTCACTTGTCCTCCCATACAGCAAAACGATTAATGTTGTATAATAACGGACTATGGTAAAGACAATACAGTAGCCTATATGTCTTGTTGTTGACTCAAAGTATGTACAGAACAGCAAATATGAACGTGCATTTTGAAATGCATTGTGATTTTAAAAAGATCAACTCCGTACAGACAAGCAGACGAGCCCAGAACACAATGCATTAAACTGCAAGTTAAAAATTTTCCTTCCATAGAAAATCATTATAAATAAAACACGTAATGTAGCTTAATGGACAAAGACAATGATATAAAAGAGCTGTAGACAGTTTATTCTATATGGAAAAACGCTTAAAGTTCCGGCGGTGCGAAAACGCCAAAAAGTGGGTAGTTCCACAATTAGTTCTGGTACTATGAAAAGGTTCCCGCGGTGCAAAAGGCCCTAGTGCTACTGGATCTTAGCGCTGCGTTCGACACTATCAACCACAACATTATTTTGAATAGACTTGAAAATAGACTTTTGCATGAATTGTTTTCCTTTTATTGAGGGAGATAATCACTTTTTGGCTTAACTCTTCCTTTATTAGTTCATGAATGTATTGTTGTTTGTATGTTTATTTTATTCTATTCATATTTACTTATCCATTTAATTCATATCATATTATTTTTATTACCATAATTGAAATAAATGTTAAAGTGTTTCGTCACACATGCACATGTTCCCCGTCTCCAGTCCAGCAGGTGGCGCTGCAGTGAAGAAGACTGAGAGAACACGTGCTGTGTTTGTTCCTCACAGTGATGATGTGAGTAGAGTACAGTGTCCAGCCATGAGCTCGAGTCTGGGAAGAAAACAACAGCGTCTATGGCAAGCCGTTTTAACATTTAATCTATAAACCGTACTAGTATCTATTTTCATGGTACTAGTACCTATTTTTTAGATACTAGTATCTTTTCCATTAAGTACTAGTACTTATTCATTAGGTACTAGTGCTTATTCTTTAGCTACTAGTGCTTATTCTTTAGGTACTAGTGTTTATTCTTTAGGTACTAGTTACTAGTGCTGTTTATAGATTAAATGTTAAAACGGCTTTCCATAAGCGTCACTGTTTGATATGAATGAGGATATGTGAGTTTTATAGTTTGTCTCTCTCACATTCAGGTTCATTCAACACTTATTCATTTTATGTGTCCAGTAACTGATGCGAAACCGATTTGTAGCTATTTTTCATTCTGATTTTTGATGCAATAACACATAAGTACTAAGACTGCATCAATGAAACGGCATGCATTATAAGTGTTTTAATTATTTATATTTTGTCAACTGTACGTATGCACAGTTATGCAAAGTGAATGATTTATGATCATTTTATAAAACGGAGAGTTCCGGTGCTTGGTTCTGATTGGCTGAGCCGCGTTCGAAGCTGTTGTAAATGACTCTACAAAGTAACACACACCTTTGTTTATGTTTGTGTGTTGCTCGGCAACCACTTTGTAGCAACCACAACTGTTTCTGAGGAGCTACATTGTTTGATGGAAGAATACTGTTTTTATTAATATCATTACACTTTATTTGCTCTGTTTTATTTTGTTAAACCTTACTACGTATATGGAATAACCGTTTTATAAAAGCAATAACCCCCCGTGAAGCACCGTGCCTAACCACGCCCCTTAGCTGTTATAAATTATAAATTCACTGTAAACCACGGCTTCACGGGGATTATTGTTTTAATAGATTTTCATCTGTGACTGAGCCAGCTGTTCCGCTCAATTGGCTGTTACAAATTGTAATTTTTTTATGTAAACAAAACATAAAACAACTGTGAATATCATTGTTTCCACTGTTTACAGTGTAATGTGGGTTATTGAAGATCGAATGATGAGCAAACACTGAGTTCTGTTCTTATTGTGCGTTTGATGCAGTCACTCTCACTGTATCAGTTCTTTGGTTTCCATTCTTCTCGAACTGAGCTGTTGTTTATCTGTAGGTTTCTGAGATGATGCATGTGGAGGGTCTGAAGGTTCTCCGGCGGGACGCTATGGACTGGGACTCGCAGCGCTGTCGGATGGGTCCGGCTCTGATGTCCGGGTTAGGCCTGAGGCTGGGCGCTCCGGTTCTGATCCGGGTTCAGCGGGGGGTCTGTCTGTGCACCGCATGGCCACGGCGGGACCTCGCAGAGGGATTCCTGCAGATCAGCACCCAGTGTGCGACACCGGACCTCAGCGCACAAACACTCACCGGACTCACGGTTAAACCGGCGCACATCACACCCCTGACCTGCCCCAGACTCTCCAGCGTGAGCGTGAAGGTGTTTGTGCAGAGACTAGGACACAAGCGGAAGGTCTCCGAGCTGAGCGTTCACAAGCTGCTGGAGGGTCTATATGTGCAGCAGGGACATTTGGTGGACCTGTCCGGTGCGGAAACAGAGATCA